TCAGCCGAGGTGGGCACCTTGGAGTCCTGAATGGTTTTTGTATTGGATGGCTGGCAGAGTGACAGGGAGACTACAGAGAGAAGAGATGACAGAAGCAAGGCTGCGCGCCTATGAGCAACGCAGGAGACTTTTGGGCGCAACATTGGCCGCATTGGATTTAGACCATAGCAGAACAGTTCGGATGAGAGCTCATGAGTTTTGCTTCAATATGACAGACCTTTCTCCAAGAGATGATTCCCCTGAGTTTTTCACGGATGGTGAGGAGACGCTTCCCGTGGACAACGCAAGAAGCGCTGGTGAGTTGATTGGGGGAGAAGATCAAGGTTATTTTGACCCTGACAATATTCCTTGGAGGAACTATGGGACAAACAATCCTGGAGCAAGCAGAAATGAGGTTGAGCATGAAGATGGAGAGCATGAGGATGAAAATGAAAGTGGAGAGAGTGAACATGAGTCGGAAGACACTCGGGTGGCACGATACCTACATGCACCACTCGACGAGGTTTCTGACCAAGAGATGTGGATGAACCTTCACCATTGGAGCAGTGCAAGTGAGGACAACGAAAGTGATCACGAGATGAGTCCTGTCGAACATACAAATGATGAGACAGCAACGACAACAAACAATGGTGAGACGGCGAATGAGCCGAGGATGGAAGACAGTTGATTTGAATTTCAATGTGCATGAGGACATTCGTTGAACCAGCTGAACCAACGAATTGTCGATACGTTGACACTACGAAACAATGCATTGATTCGTCGAGCATTGTACAACAAGAATTTACAAGTGTTTCTTGTGGAAATAGCACTTAGGTGTCTTAACACAACATACAAAGTATGTTGAGGTGAAGCGGCCTTTGACCCGTGGCCACCTAGCAGATGGTGGTGCTTCGCCGAAAAAGGGTGTACAAAGTATGGCTGGAACGCCCAAACTTTGAGGCGGCGTGTTAACCTTTTCTAGCCTACTAGTGAGCCTACGTGATAGGAACAGGTGTCATTGAGTTGACTTGTGTAGTATCTGTTCTTATCGATGGATCGTCGTAGCGCGTGTGGTTCAAAAGTGTCCGCTGCTTAACAACTTTCCTGCCATCCACAAATGAATTCTTTGCTCATCAAAAGAATAGTGAAGAGAATGAGGCAGAACCAGATGTAGTTCTGCATGGATTGCCTCGTACTGAACCAAACAGCGTTCCGGTGCCTCTTGAGCGAGATCCAACTCAGCCTGGTGGCAATGATATGCAGATTGATGTTGACGCCGCGTCCAGTATTGAATGCTGTGGTCGTGAGTGCAACCCCAACACAAGTAAACACATTGAACAGCCGTCAGAATTGCTTGACCCGACACAGAAAGATGCCGCTGACTGTGATGCCTTGATTCCAACTTCCCTATTTAAAACCCGCATATTGATGACAGTTCTCAACAAACCAATGACAACGTCCTTATTGAAAAAGTCTCTCATGAACTACAACAAGTACTTGATGGCGCCAAAATAGAAGAGCAAGGCATGATTGGCCCGGCTTATCCTCAACGCAATGCTAGCAAAGTTAAGAAAAAAACCTGCGCACCACGAAGATGTCGGTAACTTATGCCATCAACCTCTTGGAGAGCCTGCCACAGTTGCTACCCCAAAGAAAGGTGATGGCCTCAGTCATCGTCTTACAAGGGGTGTTGACGCATCACGACACCTATCTAGTAGAACTTCACGCAAGGTTTCAGCTGGTGATGCGATTAAAGTCAGGCGCCGACAAGCACATGTTCAAACTCTCAAGCAAATGGGTCAGCAAAGATGTCTCACTCCAGAACATGGAATTCCAGGAGGAAGATTATCATCGTGCAGTAACGCTGTATGAGAATCTCAATGCCACAGCTTGTTTTTACACCACTGCCCTACGAATTCTTTCTAAAGCTAACTGGAGCAAGCTAGTTAGCTTTGATAATCACATTGGTCATCAAGCAATGGTTGCAGTGGCGAAGGGATGGACATGTGCAGTTCGACTCCCAAATAATAACTTCGATCACTACCACCTTGCATTGGCAATGTCCACCCTCCCAGATGAGATCCATAAGGACCTGCTACGCACGTACGAGGCCATTGTGGCTATCATTCCTCCCCCGTTTCAAGAATTGATCAGTTCCAAAGTTCTCCTTACTTGTCGTCGTTGTCAGAAATCGAGTGAGCAGGATGTGGCCACCTCCATTGTTACGTCTACCCCTGCTGGGTTACCGTCACATTTTGCCTATTTTGAAGCTGCCTTTCCATGGTCTGAAAACCTGCTGCCAGCAGGCAATGATGGACAGGACGCTACGTGTCAAGAATGTGCCAGTGATTTTGATTGGAGCCTTCAAACTAGTTCACCCTGCCGGCTGGTATGGCTTCAATACGTGAGGAACCATGAACCACTTGCAACAAGTTATGCTCAATTCTTAGGCAAGGATGCCTTCCAATCGAGTGGCCAAATATGGCAGTGCATTGCATTGGTAATTCACCAGGGCCCTGACCCTTTAAACGGAGAACATCAACCAAGCGAGCACTTTTATCTACTCGAACATGAAGGGTCGAAACCTAATACTCTGAAATATGATAACTCAAATGGCTTACATTATGCAAACATCTCACTTCTCAAAGGTGGTGATCGCATCTGTGGGCTACTCTATCGGATCAGTACCATCACAAGTACGTGGAACAGCAAAGTCACCCGACCTTTCAGAAACTCTCACCTTAAACTACGAGGCAAACTCACCAAGAGTAGATCCGAACAAGGTGAGACCCGTACTCAAAAAGGAAAACGTTGCACCAAGAGAACAGTTGACACATGTCCACGGCAACATGTCGTTAGACCAGTTCCTTGTGACCCACGAGAGTTACAATCTGCCTACTTTCCAGAGAAGCTCTGTCCACCACCACCTAATGATGCTACCATTCCTCCAGAGCAAATCGTTGCAATAGAAGCATCGCTTTCGCAGTCCTCTCAAGCTGATGACGTCGCGGCCTCTAACTCTCCGCGGGACCATCTTATGCAAAGTGTTGACTCTAAGCCACCATATGCTGTCTTGAGCATGTTTGATGGTTGTGGTTCCTCGCTGGACATTCTCATCGAGAAGTTTGGCTACCGTCCAAAAGTTTGCCTACTTTGTGAACGTGACGAAACGCTTCGTTACTTAGTTGCTGAAAAACACGGAATCTCAGTCAACGCTATGTGGGTTTACACTGCCTTCTTCTACGCCAACGATGTCGATCTCATATTTGATGATAAGGCCAGTATATTGAGAGAGTTTGTCACTCTTGGAGAGTACTGCCATGTCTTTGTCATCGGAGGCAGTCCCTGCACTGATCTCACATACGCAGGACAAGAACATGGACGCCTCGGCATCTGTGGCCCAGCCAACGTCTTCTTTTTTACCATGCACTTGGCCCTGTACCTCTTAGGCACAGTCCTTCCGAAAACCCACATTCGCTTTCTAGTTGAGAATGCCGGATCCATGCACCATGATCACTTCAGTTTCATCAGAGCTTGTCTTAGTCTTTCCCACATTCCTAGAGACAAAATGACTTGGTGCACATCTAAAATCTCACCAGCTAAAAGACTCCGGCTCTTCTTTCAAAACAACACCGTCCATGACAACATTGATTCGCAGGCACTTTGTCGTGATGACTTGCTGTGGCCTGATGATTGGAAGCCTCTTGCAATACAAGACAGAGGCAAAGTTCGTGATGTCTTCATACAACCCTTCATGAGACCTCTTGAAGTCCTCAGTGACAGCTCTTCGGTATAGTTGGACTAGCTACCACCCAGCAGCACTTCTGTGGAGAGTCTCGTATTGGCATACACATGATCGCTTTGTTGCTTTAGCCAGGATGTTTACAGACAGTTCTGTACCCGCATTTCAGTTCAGGCCCGATTAGTTAGTTCAACGATCTTTCACGTTTCACATGTCTCACCTTAGTACAGTGCGAAACTTTGCCCACATTGGTTGTTGGGGTCCTCTGGTGCCGGTTTTGTTTTGGGGTTTTTGTTTGGTTTTTGGGGTTGGGGTGTGTTGGTTCTTTGTTTTCGGTTTACTCCCCTTACCAATATGCAGAGTCTCCATCCTTCTCATGATGACCTGGGCACACCGCCCACATGGCGTCCGTACTCGTGCAAAAAAAATGTCAGTTGCAACATGTTTTTGTGAAGGACTTAAGTTTGCGAACCGTAGGTAAGCAGTTTAAGAACGCAAACGGAATTGCGATACTTGTGAGCAAAACGTTGCATTCCGGATCAAGGTCTTATCTTATGCATTCAATGTGACATGTTCTATTCGGACGTATGTCGAATTTGTCCATGTGCTCCGATTTGTCATCCGCTTGCTTTGAATTTTTGTTCGCATCTCCCGCCTTCGGCCACCCTCGGCTGCAACGCATTCGTTCGCAGTTGCCAGACCCAGAGCCTGAGGAAGACTCAGGACCGTGTGCACCCCAGCGAGAAAAAGAAGAGCGCCGCGCCTGTTTGTCAGTTGCAACGTGTTTTTGTGAAGGACTTAAGACCCACAATTCCACAAAAGTGTCCCACAAGAGCGTCTCCTGCAAGAGTGCCCGCAAGAGATATCCACAGGAGTGTCCCACAAGAGTTGTCCACAAGAGTGAGTGTCCCACAAGAGTGTCACATGAGGGTGTCCCACAGGAGTTTTCCACAAAAGTGTCTCTGAAGAGTGCTCTACAAGAGTGTTTTACAGTAATGTCTGCTGCGTTTAGACTTGTTTGTTTTCTTCAAGCCGTGTACTCGGCGAGCGTGTATGCAGCCGGGTTCGTGGGTTCTATCAGGTTCCAGTGGTGATGGTGTTCATGCCCATGATGCATGCAGGTTTGATTGCGCACGGTTTTTAGTTTTGCTGAGTTGAATGCAAACCCAACATTTGAAAAGGTGTAGCAGCTCTTGGCTCAACCGGCATTGCCTTGGTTCATGCAAAGGTGACACATGACAGAGTCAACACACGCATTTAAATATGTTTGAATTTAAGATCGCTGTTTTATGTTTATCATTTTTATTCATTGGCCATGGATCGCCGAGAACTGCGTCCTCTGCGAGCGGCCGCTTGCACTACAAAGAACAAGGTGCCTTTTGTCAGCTTGGTTAGAGGCATGTTGCAAAGGCATAGAACTTCCATTCCCCATGCCCGGTCATAACCAGCCATACGGAGAAGCAACACAGTTTAGATAGCAAAGTGAGTGAGGGTCTGCGATTCCAAAACCGTTTTGCATCAAAATCATTGATGTTTTCAAAAAATACATGATGCCGTTTTTGCCAGGGTCATGAGTCTGGAGCGAGGACTGGTGTTGACCGAGCTGTCGGATCTTGAACGTACAGTATGCCAACAAAGTGAATGTTGCCAAGTCCAGCCAGTTGAATTCCGACTGGGCATCCAGCATTTATTGTGTTTGTTGTGAGCAGAGAACGAAGATATGTAAGCCTTGTCGGTTCGTGCGAGTGGTTTAACTGCTTCACAGGAGTGCAGTTTCCAGCTGGACTCGGCAAGATACTTTGTCAGAGCTTTAGGAATCAGGAACACTTTTACGTCAGTGTGTTGAGTGGTTTCTCATGGCAAATCCTTGTGCAAAATTCCTTCTCCCTAGGTCGCAAGAGCCTTTGGCGGGCAAAAAACTTTGTACGAAGAGGTTCTGCGTCACGATGTTTGAATATCAAGTTTTCGCCACCGAGCGGTTTCAATGGCTTTCACTGCTCTGAAGGCCGCCGTTGATTGACCATCCCGTCAAAGCAGTGGCCGGGCTTCTAGCGCTGTGGAGTGTCCTATGGTTGAGCCTGCAAATTTATGACTTAATTGAGAACGCAAAAACATCCTTCACCTCTGTGGGTTTATGATTCATTGAGTAGGATAACAACTGATTGTCAGGCTGTCGTGGTGCATTTTACTGATTGTCAAGTGATACAACATGTTCTTGAATATTTTGATCAGCTGAATGGCCCTAATTTGGAGCAGATAGTCTTGATGAAATGGGTTCAACCCCAATGATCAGTGTTCCATTCATCATCAAAAAAGATCCAGTGACGGTGAGGCCAACGGCGAGAAGCAAAACTGGACCAATGATGGTGAAGAAATAGAAGCTCAAAAGGTGAGGTTGTTTGTATGGCCGAGCTTGATTTGAGGGCACGAGCTTCTCAAACTTTATGATGCCACTTGTGTTTGTCACTGAGCTGATGCTAGGCAGCAAAGAAGATCCGCTGGGATGAGAAGGACAGTGTGTATAAGCAACTTCTGCAAGTCACAGCAAAGTTGAAAACTACTAACAGCTTCAGCATATTTACTCACAGCGTGTTCTGCAGAAGTGAGAAGATACTGTATCAGTGTTTTTGGCGCTGGGCTGTTTGTCATTGTTATGCTGACAGTGAAGGACCAGCGCTTCATGTTTTCCATCCGAACGGAGGGAAAACACGTAAGCTTCCAGACCACCTGTCGAGCTGCGTGGTGCCTCAAATTGCTTTATTGAACCAGGTCCAGCAGGAAAGTATATCCAGCATATGACAAGTCGTGCTTTGGGTTTTATATGTATATATATATAATTCTAGATAAGACGATTGACAATTGTATAGAATAAACATGGCAACACACACACACCAGGCAAAAAGAGGTTGGAACGGGGCGGATCGGGGCTTCAGAGAGGACTCTATCTATTCTGTTTGTTCTTTGCTTTTCTTCAAGCCAGCATCATCTTTGTATGTGTTGAGGCTGGCAGCAAAGAAGCGGCTGAGCGTATTTGCCGGCTTTGCTTTGAGAAGTTTCTTGGGCTGCAAATGGGATGTACCTTGTAAAATTGTATTGCTGGCCCTGCCGCAAGGCCCTGGAATTGAACCCAGGTTGCACGGGTCACTGTTTCTTTGCTTTATGCCGGTTGTTGATGATATCTATCTTCTTGAATGGTTTGGAACAAAGGAGTGCATTCTAACCTTTGTTTGCATGGTTCTGGTTCTGCCAATGCAAAGCCGGCAACCTTTCTTCAAAGCTTTTTGGAACTGCAGCATGCATGAGGTTCGAATCTGGAGCATCGAAGCAAGAGGTGACGACAACACTCATAATCACTATCAGACAAGTACGCAGCTTCTTTTGCTGAATGCCAGCGAAAACAATTCCACAAGGCCAATGGTGCCTTTGTTATAGTTGGGCAGGTGATAGCCTATCGCCAGGGCTTATACCAATCTGGAGAGGCCAGCGTAGAAAATCGATCACATTGAGCGGTAGACCAGTGGATGCCAGCTGGATTGTGCAGAGTTACCCAAGATGAGTCTGAGTAACATGTGGTGCTCCTGTCATGTTCCTGAAATGGAATCCGATGGCATATGGTTTGTGCCCAGAGTACATGGCTGCCATTGTGAGGCTGCGCAGGAGTCTCAGGACCCCTCAGCAAAGAAGGACAAGGAAGCGAACAGTGAATGTGTTTATCCTTCAAGGTTCAGGTTCAGACTCCAGAGTGCAAGTGTTAGGAGCTTCCATGTTTTGGCCTCGGACATTTGCCGATTCAGAAACCAACCGATCAGAAAACTACGATTCAGAAACCAAAATAGCCGATTCAGCAACTACGATTCAGAAACCAAGGCAGTCCGATTCAGAAACCAAATGGTCCGATTGAGGAACCAAATGAGCCGATTCAGAAACCAAATGGGCCGATTCAGAAACCAAGCGAGTCCCGATTCAGAAACCAAAACAGCTGATTCAGAAACCAAGTCGGACGATTCAGAAACCAAACCAGGCGATTCAGCAACTACGATTCAGAAACCAAAACAGCCGATTCAGAAACCAACACAGCCGATGCAGAAATCAAGCTGTATTCAGAAACCAAGCTGGGCGATGGTTGCAATGGGGTGGAGGGCAGGAGGAGCGTGGGGTGGGGGGTGGGGGGGAACCATGGCCAAGGTAATAACGTTCCATGTGGATGCAAAGGGTTTTTAAAGAAAGAATATGTTTGTACTTACAGCATATGGCTGAATAGAGTGATGGCCAAGATAATAACGTTTCATGTGGTTGCAAAGGGCTTTTACATTCACTCAAGTCAGAACGTGTTTGTATATACAGCATATGGCTGAATAGAGTGATGGCCAACATAATACCTTCTATGTGGTTGCCAAGGGCTTTTGCATCCACTGAAGTAAGAATCATTTTGATATTGACAGCATATGGCTGAACAGAGTTGAGGACAGGAGGAGTGTGGGGTGGGGTGGGGTGGGGTGGGGGGGAACCATGG